AGTTCAAATTGCTCGATGTAAACAAATCAGGAATTATGTTCCCAGTTCATCAGAATTATAGTCATTGTTTAGGTCTTATCATTTTATTTTTGAACTAGCCAGATGTAACCACAAGATCTATTCTAATATTTCCTTTTCTTAATTTTCTCGCCTATTGAACTCCCTTTTGATTTCTTGCTTTTCTGACGCCTACAATCTTCAAAAATGCAAATGCAACGTCAATCGCAATCTTTTGTTTCCTTAAACGCTATTGTCCTTTCTATTTACTGCTCATCTTATTCTCATTCCCTACTCTTAACCCTTTCAGTCTCAGTAGCATTGCCATTTTGTTTGGCGTTGAATAATTAGAAAAAAGATCTTTCAAATTATTTTTTCATATTTTTTTTATAATTTAAAGACAAGTATTATTATTTGTTTTAACCTAGAGAGGTTACTTAATGAAAAATAACCAAAACGGAGGTTGGAAATGAAATGGTAATCTTTATAACATCAACAATATACAATACTCGCCAGCGGTGGGAACTAGGTAAACCACTGTTAGTGGTGAACTACTAAGACACCATATTACCCCCATTTAAAATAATGTCCAACATATTTATTAATATTCGGACACACCGATTAGTGTTTATATGTACATTATTTTGAGCGATGGAAAAAATAATTAAAATGTCAAAACAAAGGAAATAATAAAAATTACATTAAGCTTTGTTTAAATTCTTTTTTTTTTAATTAGAATATGTTTGACTTAAAATAAGTTTTTGAATTAATATTCAATGAATATTTAAGCGGATTAAACATTGTACACAAAATTTGCCTTATACTGCTTGATGTGGAATTAGTGAATACTAATCGTTTATATTAGTTCAATTATTATTCATTATATTAGTACTAATCTTTTATATTAGTACAATTATTATTCTTTATATTAGTACTAATCTTTTATATTAGTAAATACTAATCGTTTCAGATGCATGGGTGTATGTATCTGTTATAACAAATTAAATATAGGAGAAAAAGTAATTGAACATAGCTAATTGACTTGAGCTAGAGATAATTTCGCCCAACACCGAAAATTGCTTCGAGACCAAAACCTCAACTTGAAAGCTCGAGTTATGAGCTTAAGTAAAAAGACGTATCGTGTGCCAAACCTGTTCAGAAATATCTAAACTGTTAGTTGTATACAACCGCTTTCTAAGATTAATAGTGAAATAAAGCTTTGAGCGAATGAAGCATGGGAGTTTTGAAAAAGATAATCCTTCTGTGAGCATTGTGAACTGGCACTACATAATTGCAAAGTAAGAACTGTACCTAATGATACAAATCACATCACTTGACAACTGCCAATAGTAGAAAGAAACAAAATGGATAACACTATTTAAATCGAAGTTAAAATAATGACATAATCAAGATTTTAATATTCCAGACCACTTCAAATAGAAGCTTAAATAACACATAACACATAAATTCTGGAAACAGTGACAACAACTACTTGATTGTAATAACTGTCTTCCTGAAAATCTGTTTTGAGAGAAAGAGTTTATAAATTTCAACTGAAAGTATTACTGGTTGAGCAGTCAATAAATGCCATATATTTCCTCATAAAGATACGGCTATTGTTACACTTACCTCTATACAGTGGATATTTTAATTAAATTTCACTGGCTACTTGAAGTGATCTGCCTCGTTTCATCCTTGTTCAAACAACATTTGCAGAAATATATAAATCAAAACGAATAGTCATTACTTTTACCCTATTCCCAAGGTTAAGCAGCAGTACCCCAATGAATTATGTCTCAAGCGATTTCTACCATCATTGTCAGTCACATAACTAGGTGTAGTCGAAATGACACTGTGCAGCTATGCAACTGACAAGCTTCCTACAGAGGTCTCAGTTGCGTGCCAATGTCTGAATTTCAGTGATGTTAGCGGAATTTAACTCTTAGTAAGGGAAAGGTTGTTCATTCTTATGATATACCTATACTAACGGATAATCTTTCTTATTAGACTATGTGCACACCCAACAGGCCCGCTTCTTGTTTGATGGTTCCCCACGCCACAGAATTTGTTGTGAGATCTGTATAGGCGATGCCGACAGTTATTTCTGTAGCCTCTCGTTTCTAGTACCAAGGTATTTTAAAGGTTTTAAGTTTACGGCCATGTCATGCTGAAACACCGGTTCTCGTTCGATCACCAAAGTTAAGCAACATCGAGCCTGGCCATTACCTAGATGGGTCGACAGCTTCTAAATTGCAGGTTCTGTAACCGATGTCATTTAGATGGTGTAATGGATAAAAGCACGGAATTGAAATCGGACATATGTTTTCCAGTTGCAGTCGGGTTCGTTATATTGTCTTATGCGCAAATTCTCTTGGGAAGGGTATGAATCCACCTCATCTACCCCTAGCTAAGGGGTAAATAGTATCCGAATGGCATCAGTAAATGCATATTATTTTCCCCAAAATTCTTGCAATCCAAAACTGTTTTCTGGTTTTAAATAGCCTGCAAATGGTTGCTAAGCCTTAATTATAAGAAATAAATCGATCAGTCAATGAGAGATTGTGTAATCGAACTACATGCTCTTATGTATATACAGTGATTAAACATAGAGTTTTTGTACCAACAAAATAAACAGTTAATATAAAGTTTACATCTAAAAGAACAATATTGTCTTCAATAAAGACGGCTGCACATACAACGTAACGAAGCTGTTAAGTGAAAACTTTGAACTAAAGACGCAAATTTATGGTCACCTGTCCCACAGGAGCAGGTAATATTTTGATTGGCTAACTTTGATATGTACAGTTTCTTTTTTTGAAGACCTTCATGAACAGCAATTTCTTCTTTCAGCGAAGCTTCACTCAGACCTCATTCGATAATAGAATCATTCTGGTAGAACTATCATAACGGAATCATTGAGGTAGAACGCATACTATAACAAAATTAGTGTGGTAGACCGCATACGAAAACTGAATCATTATGGTAGACTGCATAAAACAATAGAATCATTGTCGTAGACGGCTTACTAGCACAGAATCATTGTGAGAGACCGTATACTATAACAGAAACTCTGTGCTATTCCACATAATACAGTAAAATCATTGTGGTAGATTGCATACTAAAACAGAATCATTCTAGCAAACCGCTTAATATAACAGAATCGTTATGGCAGACTGCATATCATATTGGCAACAAAACAACTTTTCCTCGTACAATTCTGTCTTCTTTGAGATTACAATTTCTTTTTTTATATGTCCACAGACACAATGTCCCACAAAAATACATCCCTCTTAGAGAACATTTCAAAGTTTGTCCACTTAATAGGAAATAAGAAAGCATAATCTTAGACAGGCAGAAAGATTTATACCATAAGAATAAAATAATAAAGTTTGACTGTGGAAAAACGTACCTTTCGTTAACCGGAGAATCCGGGTGTCTTCATTTTCAAATAAAACCTATAACACTTACATTATCATTTCCAAATAATTTCAGACTTTAGACAGAAGTGTTAAGTTTGGTTTGGTTCGGTTCGGTTTGGTTTTACAGCATATCAACTCTAATGGCTCATTTAATGCCGACAACTTTTTTTCCTGGTAATATTTTTGTTTTGTCAAAAATCTATTTCTGGTAATATTTTTCATCAAAAATCTATAGCTGGTAATATTTTAAAAAAATGTATTGCTGGTAATTTTTTTTTTCAAAAACGTATTGCTGGAAATTGCTTTTTTTTTTTCTTCAAATATTTATTTTTGGTAATATATTTTTTACAAAGTATTTCTGGTATTAAAACCTATTTTTACACTTTTATAATGCTTGTTACATCAGTTTCGGGATTAAATATTTGCCCATAGCTGGGACCCTAACAGGTGCTACCACCCCGGGTCAGGGTGTACCTGGGAACACTAACAATTAAGAGGTGGTTCCACGTTCCTCAAAAGCCTCCTGGTGAGAGGCCTTGCTGTTGGACGTAGTTTATTGTCTTACTCTGCACGCGGATGTAGTTTATCGTCATACCCAGGACGAGCGGAGGTGTTAGGGGTACAATGTAGAAGTAGACTGTAGAAAGAACCGAAAGCCGAAACCCGAAATGAAAATAAGGGATAAGCCTTTACTCATGTTCAAAAGACCGGGAAATGTGAAGCAGACGATGACGAAATAGAAATTTATTTTTGAATTCCTTTTGGTCTGTCTGAGAATTTTTAGCAAGTAATATTCGGAACGATCCGCGGTTTTAGACACCTTTTCGTTGTCTTGGAACGTATTTTTCGTGGATAAGGGATAACTAACCTACTGTCTGCAGGTAATACACTTTTTCATGGACAATCAGACAATAACTTAATGAAGCAATCATTATGGTGTTTCTTGAACCTTCAACTAATTTGGTTTATTACGAAAAGCTTAAATAGAACGAATTCACAAAAACAAATAATACATCATCTACCAGAATCGCTCCGAAAATGTTGGCTTTTATTTCAGTTTAATAGCCAATGACGTCAGAGCATTTTGAATCTGTACCCAATAAATGATTTCTATTTTATTACAGCATACATGAAATGTGTGACAATAATGTATGTCACGGAATTCCTCCGTGCTCAAAGAAAGTACAACACTAGGTATTCATCGGCATTTAGAGAAAGCAAACTATGTGGAAATATAGTGTTTTGTATCTAAAAAGCAAAAAGCTCTATCCAGCACTTGTGAGCCATGTGTGATGTACGCTTGGACGATCAAGTCCTATTTCGATTCATGGTTGACTTTGCAAAAGAATTCGTGCACCAGGCTACCGTTACCTTCTGCTGTAGATTGGTTGCCAATCTTTCCTGTTATTTAACTAATAGCTGATGTATTTCCTATGAGAATTAACGAAATATCTATCGTACAATACAAAATAAAATTATAGATTCCCTATTGATAACTTTGCAGACTTATCTATATATTATCTTATAATCTTAAATTTAAGAAGAAAAGTAAAAACGGTTATCGAAGGTTAATTTTATATAACT